ACTAAAAACAATCATCTATCATTTCTCTTTGGATGCCTAAATGTTGGTTCTCAGGGCTGAATAGGCAATGGGATTATGGGTACAAATCAAATTTAGTGGTATCAACTACAAATACATCGTATCAATGAATGAGCAATCTGAGCACATCACTACCAATCGTTCCATCCATTTTTCAATCGTTAGTCTCTTGGAATTACAAAAAGAGATATAGCGAATAGAGAAAGGAAAGGGGACGAAAATGATTGGTGCTTTTCTCAAGACAATTTGATTGCCCTGAGTAGATGGTACATCAATTAGAGCTACAACCCTTCTACGCTTTTAAGCAAGGCCTTGTCTGGCATCAAACAGAACATGAGGCTGATCCCAATAAGACAAACATGGTGCATGTATTAATTCCGGTTGATACGTATCTTCAAAATAATATTAAATAATAATTGAATAGCATTGGATTCAATGAGTTGAAGTGTTTCATAAGCTTCAACTCTTGCTCTGCTTTGCCTCATCTTGTAAACAAAAAAAAACCATAGTGGTTTGTTTTCCCTAAAAGTCACAGTATCGCTAAGAGAAACATGGATAAACTAAAAAAAGAAAATCTTCAAAGCTGCCTAAGAAATATAGGTGCAAAAATACCAAAGCTCACATTTAGAATATAGATACAAATACTGTCACTGTCACGATGAGATAAAATAATACAACTTGAGTAATTTGAAATTTCATATTACCTGGTTTTCAATACTCATAGGTTCTGAGTTGGAAGCAATAGGTACACTGAGTTCACCACCATGGGTTTTATGCCTCTCATAATCAAGAAGAGCCTAAAAAAAACTCAAAAAGTTACAACCAAAAGCATTGTGTTCTAACCTAAGCAATTAAATGATTTCTTTTTCCTGATTTTTGTTAACAGTAGATGGACACATTTGAGTCCGTCTTGATGCAGAACTTACAAAACTAAAAAGCATCAAAATGAATGAAAACTGATCAATATAGTGGCCCAAGTTAAAAAATAATTACATCAGATAATAAGTTGAAGAACATACTTGCTATAGGTAAGAATACATGTATTTAAAACCTCATCCATTTGATACGAGTACAATGGATTACAGACCTTAAGACCAGACCCACCAAAATGCACATTAACTGACCCCAAAGTAGTCTTAATTTCTGCAATCCTATTGCATTAGCTATCAATTCAAAAGAACGGCTTTTCCGCAGAACTAATGTGATTAGCTTCACATTTAGAATATAGATACAAATATTTCAGTGATAATACAGAAATATTCAAAGAAAACATCTTTCCAGTATCACCTTCTCATAAAATCCTCGAAACGTCCATGATACTGTCGTACATGTCCTGCAAAACAAAAACAAATGTGAATTAAAAAGCTTGGAATATCCAGGCTGGGGGATAAGGCAAATATAAAAGGTCCAAGAATTCTTCCAAAATGGGGGCATTACGATGAAATCATTCATTTCATAAATGATAAGTGGTAAACAATTTGAAGAGTTCATCTAAAACGATTTAGTATAGAAGTAAATGAGCCCAAGGTTAGGCATTATGATTTCAGACACTATTTCTGCTTTTACTCTTGAATTCGAGAAAGAAAAATAGTGAACGAACATAAACCAAATAAACAATTCAAAATAATGTTAATTGGCAAGAGCAGCAACTTGTTTCCCACAATGTCATCCAGAAGATTATGCATCGTGAGTAGTTCTTAAATTGTTTCCATACTTTGGGGGCTTGAAAGACTCTCCCACTTGCCGCCACAACTTGCATGAAGTCACCTGTTCAAAAAAGAACTCCAGTTAATAGTTATGGATGCGTCAAAAAAAAGATTGCAAAGGCTCAAAATTATACAATCAAACACAACAAAGAAATATCATGAGAAGAAAACAGAATAAAAACACAAATAATAAACCATAACATCCTTAGTCTTCTCCCTCAACTACCTAGGTCTAAGGTTGTCAGAGAGGGGCCATTACAACACTTACAGAATGCTGTACTTATAAATTACATATTCTCAACCATTGAAGTTGGCACATTACAGGTTTCATAAGACCAGTGTAGTCAGTCATCTAGAACACAATATTATTATTAAACAGCCTCTCATTCCCTAAGAGGCTGATTTCTGTCCATAAACATAACAGTATTGGAACTATCTTACAGAAGAATTGATAGTAGCGTTCAAATGATAGAAAATCACTTATGAATTAAAACACATTGTTAATGAAGCAAGAAACGATGTTTCAACTTCAGGTTATCTTTCATGGGAGACGTATACATCAGACAAGAAACACAGTAGATATTGTAGAAAAAAACAACAGAACGTACCTTGTCATAGCCACCCAATCTAGTCACGGCCCTCCATAACCTTATGGTAAAAGGTTAAAAAAATGTATAAGCTAAAAATTTTAATTCTCATTGAATGACATAAATCATGCTACAGTATTGAAGAACAAAAAATTACTTGAGGCAATTCAGACCCTCTCCATAAAACTTGGGAGGTTTGAATTCCAGGCTTCTTTCTCTGAAGAAATTCTCAAGCTCCTTCATGAAAGCAGATTGCTCTTCTTCTGTTCCTGATTCGCTACCTTCAGCAATATGATTTTCATCCAAAAGAAACGAGTGGTTCACATTTGAATGCCCGTTATGAGGTGTAGTAACACTATCTTCATTGACCTTCAATTCTATGGCATTCTCCATTTCAGCTTTAACACCAGATGACAATGGATGAGGAGTTACAGGTTCTTCATGACTTGCAGTTGAAGTGTCATCTAGAGAACCGGTTTTAATTTCAGGCATCTCAATGGCCTCATATTTGGCATCCATGGAGGATTGAATCGTTTCCAGGTGAGTGTTAGAGGTAGCAGCATCTAGACCCACCTCCCTTGGCAGCAACTCATCAGGCCCGGTCTTGACATCAGAGGCAGGTTCAGCATCAGGCTTATCCAACTCTTGGTCATGATCCAGGGGAGGTGAAGTTGCCGATTCTTGATTCGGTTGCTGAGTAATTGGAGGTATATCTAAATTATCCTCAGGAGGCACAACTTCAGGTACATGAGTCTTAGGTGAATCAATCTTATTTTCACAAGACTTGGTAGTTGCCTCAGCTGGCACAGAGAGAGAATCATGAAGCTCATCTTTTGAATTAACTTGGTTGCCTTCACTTAAAGCAACTGGAACATCTTCCGTAGGTTCCTCGTTCCCCTTCGCATCACACATCTCCGGTTCGAAAGGAAAAATTCTACAACTAATCAAAATTAAATTTAGGTTTTGAGAGGACAGTTAATTAAAGAAGGAAAGAATGCTATATTAAAGGAAAATAAAAACCCAACCCAGAAATCCTTTAAAATGAAAACCCAAATGGGAGGTAACTTCCTATTCAAAACGATGAAGCCATCACATCACACTCGTCTTATTATTTCCTGGAAAACCTAACCATAAGAGGCGATTCTCCATTCTTTTCCCCTCCCAACGACAACGAGAAAGGAAGAGCAAATGAAGTGAAAAGGGAATAGAAATGCGTAAATCATCAAGACAAAAGTTACGGTTTCATATGCATTTAGAGGCCCGAGGGGGTTGGGGAAGAAGATCAGATGGAGCGGCAAGCTTCGAAATTCATACCTGGAAAACAAGAAACAACATGCAGATTGCAGATGCAGGCCAAAAAGAAACCCTAAGAATCGCCTATTTGTTACCGTTCCTCTTCGGTGCCAGGATCGTGCGACGTTTGGTTTTGAACTTCAAATCCGACGTTTGTCTATTTCTACTTTTCTCTAACGATCGCCATCAAAATTTAGAATTCAGGACTTGGACCTCCAAAACTGGTTCAACATCGATGGGCTTTTTATTTGGGTTGGGACGCTTGCAAAATGCAAATACACCGAATATCAATTTTTATTTTAAAATATTTATAAAAAATGGTGGCAATTTTTCATTTTCATTAGAGTTGTAAATATATATATCAATTATCTATCTATGTCCACTTTGTCAGTTATTTTCTAATATTATTAGAAATAAAACTGTAATTAATATTCTAAACTACCAACTAAATTTATAAATAATTCTGTTTTAAATTGCGAACTATTTATCTTCTCATCCAGAGATAATATATATGGAGATTTTTTTTTTACCCAAATATTTATGGAGTTGTATTTTTAAGAGAGGACAAATTGACAGAAAATTTATAAAAACATTGTTTTTAAAATTAGTTTGGGTTTAGAATATTTTAAAAACTAGTTTTAATTTTAGTAATATCTTAAAAAATCAAACCTTTTTATACTCATTAAATTTAACTATAAACTTGAATAGGGGTAAACTAAATAACTCTTTAATTTAATTAAAATTAAATTGTGAGATTAATCTTGATTAATTTAATAGAATGCATGTCAATATGAAGTTAGTTCAATAGTAATTGACACTTGTTTCTCGCCAAGAAGTTACGGGTTTGAATCCCAACCTTATTATACTTGTAAAAAAAATTGAATAGATTACATAAAATTTCAAATTAAGTGAAAATGTCCAAACTAGGATAATACTTAAAAACTCAGTTGTTAAAAAAAAAAAAACTAAAATAAGCATTACATAAAAAATAGTATAGTTCAAATAACTTATAAGAATGTTTTTTTCTTTTCCTTTTCCAATTCAATAATGCACGTAAATAGCCACAAAACTTAATTTTTCTTTATAACTAATCGATGATATTTAATTTAACTACTCATTCAAGTATAAGATTTAATTTGATAATGTTTAAAATTAAAATCGACAGTTCTAGAGAAGAATGCTGAAATTAATTCCTGAATTAAAATTTTAAAATAATTTATTTTTTAACCATGTGGGATGTAATTCAAATATTTGACTTCTAGAATATATTATTTTATTTTTTGAATTTATTCTAGATATTATTTTCATTTTTTGTTTTATTTTTTTAACTGAGTTCAACTAGATCTAACCATGCACGATATTAAGTGTCAGTGAACTATATAGCATATTGTTTTCTAAATTAATTTCAAGTAAATTGGTGTTTTGTTTGGTTATTTTTTACCTACTCGTTTATGAAATCATGCTTGGTTATCTTTCTGACTGAATTTAGTTATTTATACCACTTGATTTTAAATGAAAATTTAATATTTTTAAGGGATATTAATTTTCACAATTATTAAAGTTAATATTTCAATCTAATAAAAACTAAAGTTAAAAAAAAAAGAAAAAAGAAAAAAAGATTGGTGTAACTATCCACATGATGGTTGATGCTTTTAACTAGGATCGAATTGTACTTAAAAAAAAAAAACTATGATCGAATAAATTCCTCTCTCAAATTTCTCTATTGGTATATGCTGAACTATGTTCGATTTGACAATTTATATTTATTTAATACAAAAATTTTATAGTAAATCTTATTCCACATGATATTTCACAAATGTTTTTTTTTTCTAATATTTATAAATCTAGCTTTCTATGATTCTTTTTATTCACAAATTGCCTCAATGAATATCATTATACATTTATTATCATATTTTAAAATGAATCTTTTATAGTTTAAGGTTTAAGATTTAGAGTTTGGGGTCTTATTTCTTTGTTAAAAATAGAAATTCTCTCTAATAGGTATAGGATTTAAATTTAAGGCTTATGGTTTAGTATTTTTTATTAAAAGTATATGAATATGAGTAGTTTGGTAATTTTTAACATGGACCCAAGCCTCTATTTTGAGAAATCTATAAATTATTAAGATTTAAGTCAATTAAGTTTTTTTTGTATGCTTATCCTTCTGGTCTAATTCCTATAAAAAAGATCAATAAAGTAGTTTCCATGAGAGTACAATTTTGAATTTTTTTTAAATTTTTATGATATTAACCTTAACTTTTAATATAATACCTAAATTTTCCTTAGCATTAAAAAAAAAACTGTCATAGTGTGCGTCAGTAATTTAAACTTCTTTCACTCTTATATAATTATATAAATAAACCTTTCACACTTATTTTTTCTTTAATTAAACTCTTTCACGTCCTCACACAAATACCGTAAATAGGATTTTTAATAAAAAAATAATTCCACATTTTTTTAATTAAACTCTTTCATATTCCCACACGCCACAAGAATTTAATCGTTAAATAGTTTTTAAAAGTAAAATTATAAAAATACTTAAAATTAATAATTTAAATAAGTTGATTAAATTGATGAATCACAAGAATATTTAATATAATTTATTTCTAAAAATTAATTAGATAATTTATGACTTGATGTTTTTTTTAGTACATGACTTGATGTTTAATAAGTAATAGAATTTCAAAATTTTTTGAAATTTTAATAGTTTTACAATCTTTTTAAACTTCTACAACTATATAAACCAAATATAAAATAAAAGAGAATGAAGGGCATTTTTTTTAATTGCTGCAGATCTTGAATACAAAAAGTGAGCAGAGGATTAAACGCTGGAGCCAATTAACATGTTAATCAAAGAACTTTCAGCTGCAGATTATCATAGCCAAGCTGTGCTTTGTACCTTTCAAATATATCCTGGAGTGCTTCAACAAACTGACCGTGTACATCAAGAACCTGAAAAACCATAAACACAACCAAATATGGGACTTAGTTTTGTCCCCTTTCTTAATCCGCACCCACCTAACCCGATTAGGAGGCTGGAGTTTAGTAATCAAAAGATGGAAAAAAGAACACTTCTTTGTTGTCAATATTCTGTATGAACTTTTCTCTTCCTTTTCATATTATCAATGAAAATTTTGTTTCTCCTTAAATAGACACACATATTTCTCAGGTATATACCAATGGAATGAAGCAGACGCATACCTCATCACTCGTTGGGTTTGGATTTTTCTTCACCTCAATGGGTCTCCCCACCACCACATGCATCCGCCGCCTAAAGGGAAGGGGAGATCTGAAACCACCACAATATTCAACCACATCGCCACAGTGCAATCATGATTAAATAGATTATCTTATCATTTATAGTTCACTACAAAATGGGCAAGTAATTAAACCGATCAACTTAAATTCTTGAGTTAAGAACCCGACATTCTTATCAAATGTTAATGCTTAAAATAGCCCATGAACATTAATGAAGACAAAATTTAAAACAATGCTGTTATCCAACCATTTAGTAAGATTAAGGATGGCAACGGAGCGGGGACTCCCTGATCGGGGACAGGTTCCCCTACTGTAAGATGTACCTTTTTTTTCTTTCTCTGTCTTTAGTAAGATTGAATTTTGTTTAGACAAAAACGTGCATGGTGAGGAAGAGAAGAGACATGACATTTGTGAAGACTCGTGAGAAAACATACACATACCCGAAAACTCCCCAGAAGACAATTGGAGTGAACTTGATCGCTCTAGAAAATTGGAGGAACAACTTCCCACCAGGCTTCCACCAATGATAGACGCTCGACTACATAAATTTGGAGAAAACTGGTTAAAAATAATTTCTAAAATACAAATTAAAACACAGAACGAGGATGTAGTAGTAGTACACTAAAATCAAAGAGACTGGATAACACTAAGGATGTTAAAAATAATACCTGACCAAAGCAGAAAACTGGGACCAGGGGTGTGCCCATCTCCATCGCTAAGCGAACAAATCCTCGTCTTGTCTTGAGGAAGACAGTCTACAAAGTGAAACTTTTGGAGTTGTCAATCCCGCAAGGCTTCTTGAGGAATGAGAAATAAGATTGCAAACCAAATTATCAGTTCTGAATGACAACTGAACTTAAGAAAGAGATCTTGATAATATTGCTCATTTTAGGTCTTAGAACTCAATAAGTTCCACGAATTACATGTTGTAAGAAACATTTCAGCAAAGAGTCGCAAAGAAAGATAAGCTATCGATCATCGCCTCCTATGTTAAAATGTCTAAATGTCGAGGCCATACTAAACCACCTATCTGGCTTAGCATAAACAACCGAAAGATAAAGATAAACATCAATTGGCACGCTAAAGCAAACAGATTATAAAATGAAACTCAGCAGGCATTAATGACAAAGGAAGTAACTACCGAATGCCTCAAGGAGGACTTCCGATACTAGTAAATAGGAGGATGGAGAAGTAAAAGAGAGAAAATCCAAGTTCAAAATCAACGGACTGGAAGGAACTAAAATTTAATCTATCATACCTCCAGTATGCAAGTGCAGAAGAAGTAACCTTCTAGTTCTAGTAACGAGCGAAAAACAAATCAAATGAAATTTGTAGGTATATAAGAGATGGAGAATGACCTCCGAATTATGCTCCATATGAAATGTCTCTTGTACTCCACCAGGCACAATGATACAACTATAGCCAGCTGCCAAGAGGGAGATGAAATTTTTCTTTGTTGCTGGCGTTAGACCCATCCATGTCCATATGTGCCTCAAAAACGGTGTATAAAACACCTGGTCAATAATCACACCATAGAAAGGTTACAGAGGACACCAGTAAATGCCTATAATAAAGAGGCAGAAGTCTTACAGCGGAACTAGCAAGGACTTTTATTTTTTGGAGAGGCATGAAACCAGTAAGGTCGCTCAATGCAACAACACCAATAGGTAAAACCGAATGTGGCTCATAACCAAGAACTACATGATGGAACAAAAATCCACTTGATGAAAGGTTAAAAATGAAACATAAGAAAATGGAAATCAAATAGGACTAACCATAAGCACGATTGGGATCAAAGGCATGTATATCTTGGACATGTAGAGTAATAGGAAAATAGGCGGTAGCGCTTTTACATATATACCTGGGAGCGAAGGGCAAATGGTGAGGGGGAGATGAAAGAGAAAAAAAGGAGGAAGCAGAAGCAGAACAGACCTGGCCAATAAGCGACCGTATTTGGCTTTGTCGTTGACAGGAATTAGCACTAATATGAAAAGTAAGGCGCCGACCCTGAAAGGAAAAGGCAAAAAGAAAGTTGAAGGAAAGA